ACTCCGAGTAAAAACACTTTCCACGATCCAAAAAACTAGACTAATCACGTGTGCTCACCTATAAGACCAAATGCATGAACAAAAAAGTGTGATAGTGAAAATACCGATTGAGTGGACTCTAAATGTGTCCACAATTTACAGAGCACATATGGGCCTGGGTTAGGTGTTCACCGACGATTAAGTTCTGTGTGTAGCCTACTACGTGAACTAAGAAGCCACTTCAGGGGTCTCGGACTTGTGAAATCCAGTCTACGGAACAGAAATCAACCACATGAATTGCTTCAAATCCTTCTGAGGTAATGGAACAAGGTACTCCGATAGCTTGTATCAACTGCTGTGAAACTTAAAAGGTTTACAAAGGGTTCTTACGTTATCTTCTATGACAGTTTTACCGCCGCACGCGGAAACGTCATATGCTGATAAATGCTCGAGAAATTCAGACAGCCTATAGATAACAAAATCATCAAGTGCGATAAAATGTCTTTACCTTTTTCGAAGTTACGATTATGTGCGGAAAGAGTTAACTGGCCCAGCGCTTGATGTAAAACTTTCGTCATATCAATCCACAAGAAGAAAGATAAACTTTGTTATGAAAACAATGGGTGATATGCTTGAACGAAAGTGAAGCTAGAATTCTCGTTGCTTTTATTCTCCATCATCTTTCCATTCCGTAGAATTAGACTGCAGATAAAGTATACATCAGTTCCTGAGGTTCGTTTTTGGTTGATCTTACTAGATTTAACACTGGTTCTTGATCCAACCGAATGAACAGCCTGCCGGTACTGTCTTTTCCTTAGCATATCAAGAAGTTTACCCTCAAGAGTTTTATCAAAAAAAGTGATCACGATTCCACCATGAAAACAGAATTTCCCGGAAGCATTTTAATCTTGATTTGTATTGTAGATGAAACGATAATAATTAGCTAACTTGCAATTAACTTTTCGAATGCCAAACTTAGTGAGAACAAAGTAGCAGTTGCTTTTATTGTACTTGGTATTGTTTAGTAAAGACCACAGAGATTTTCTTCAGATGTCTCCGGAAAACCAAAGTTATCATTTGGAAATATTGTGTAATAGAACTTCGAATTCTGTAGAAGTATTGACACACTGAACAAATCAATTGCGTTACATAAGAAGCTACAAACCACAGGTTGAACTTTATAGCAATCTAAGTAAACGGTTGAAAGTTAAGTGTCACTGCAGTGGTTTGGCAAATTCTATTAGTTTTTCAGGGACAACCACTGCCCAAATCTCATTGTTTGGGCAGCTAACTCGGCACATTTGCCTGAACTCGATAAGAAAACCGGACCAGGAACTATGAGCTTCGATTTATATATAAGGAAGTCGAACTTAATAAACAAACCAGGTTTCAAGCCCAAAATTATCACCTAAGTCACAAGAAAAACTGGATTTTCAACTACTTATCTCATTTGATTTTTGATTGGCAATCTAGAATGGCATCATTAAGTTCAGAAGTAACATACTTGTTGAATTTTACAAAAAAGCAACCAGGTGCGGAAGCACAGACGAAAGATGACGCGATGCGATTGTGGTTAGCATAGATCATAGCAACAATCAGTTTTTAGTTTATGTGCAGGAACATTAACCCTGAATTTAGGTGCACTGTTTTGATAGCCATTTTAGGATACTCATTCGGTAAATTGAAGCAGCAAACGGATAAGTTTTCAGATTAAAAACGAGCAGACTGAATGCACGCAGAAAGTGATTAGATGAACCAGTGGTACTAAATACAAGATTCAGCCATACCATTCAATACCTCCAACCACTGGATAGGCTGATCCCGAAGGCCCGAAACGGATAGCCTAACAGGATCCACATGAACAATTTAACCAGCCAATATTCATAAATCCCTTCTTCACAGCACTGGACTCAAATCGACCACATCACCATCAGCCACCGCTGGAGAGGATCCATTGAAGACTGCCGCTCCTACTGGTCAACACCCGTAGACACGGACCATGCTCTGCTCTCTGAGCGGCATTCTCCCTACGCCTGATAAACAACCGCAGAAAAGCCGCCGAAAACGGATGACCACAATACACTATCACCGACAGTTGCCAATCGGCCTTCGAAGCGAAACTATCAGAT